GAAGAATAACCTTGTGGCACCTTAATGCTAGTCAAAAAATCACAAAAACTTGTTTTCTCTTGTCTTGATAATGTGTGCACAGCTTGATGTAAATAAGCCATTTTACCCTCTCTTTCTTATGGGTGGAGGAGTTTTCTTATTCCAATTTCGACTAAATCCTATCTTATATTGATTCCATCCTTAATCTTTTCACTTATATGTAAAAGTGTACCAACAAGGCTCTCACACACATTTTTCTCCACATGCATCGCATCTAGATTATGCCTCACATCAAGACTTTGCCAATATGGAAGACAAAAAAAGATAGGATTTTTTTTCCACATATTCCTCTCACCAGCAATCTTCTTCTTTTTACTGAAGACCACATTAACTCCCTCCACCTGTTGATAAACTTCTTCTCTAGTTAATAGTATTGAAACCATTTGATATTCTTGTGAGTTGTTAAATGTCTTCTTCAACCCATGATAAGGGTGGTGCTGATTAAGAAACCTTCTGTGACCAAGGTAGACCGTCTTCCTTCCATGTTTAAGTTGTATGTAGTGAGTGCCTTCTTCACATATCGGGCATGCTTTTTGCCCCTTAACATTGTATCCTGACAAATTTCCATATGCCGGAAAGTCATTTATCTTGCTGAAGATCATAGTACGTAAATTGAAGGTCTCTTGTTTATATGCATCAAACACATCAACACCTTCCTCCGATAATTTCTTCAGATCCTTAATCAAAGTTGCCAAATACACATCGATATTGTTTCCTGACTGTTTTAGCCTCGAGATCATCAAAGATAACATGATATACTTTCTTTTCATACATAACAAAGGAGGCAAGTTGTAAATTACAAGGAGTACCAGCCAAGCACTGTGTGTGCTACTAAGTTTACCATATGGATTAATTCTATTTGTATAAAGCCCTAGTTGAAGGTTTCTTGGCTTACTACTGAATTGAGAAAATTTTTGATCTATTGCTTTCTGTTGAGGAGAATCTGCTGGGTGACGAAGTTTTCCATCACATATTTTCTCATCGGAATGCCACCTCAAGTTCTTTGCTTCTGTGACATTAGCAAATAAACGTTTAAATCCTGGTATTATTGGAAGATACCATAGAACCTTTAAAGGAGGATCTTTGGTCATCTTATTATAATCATCATCGCCTTTCTTAACTTTATATCTTGAAGTCCCACTTTTAGGGCACTTATTCAACCCTTTATATTCATTTCTGAATAATATACTATCATTAGAGCACGCATGGATCTTCTCATATTCCAAACCCATCGGATGCAAAATTTTGTTTGCCTCATATATTCGTTTTGGAAGTGAATTCCCTTTTGGAAGAATATCACTCAACATTTCAAGTAATTCTATGAAACTAGCATCGGTTCAACCATTTCTTGCCTTCAAGTTCATCAATTTCAACATGGTTGTCAACTTTGTGTAATCATCTTTACAACCTGAATATAAAGGCATCTCTGTATTACTGCATAAGGTTTCATATGTGGGAGAGAATTGTGTAAAGGACTCAGACCTTATGTCACGAAACACATCCGAAATTCTATCATCAAAGTCATCATTCACAATCTTCTCCTTTCCAGATAGTGTAGTCTTTCTAATTTCTCCATGCCATATCCAATTTGTACATTTCAAATTTATCCCATCACAGATAAGATGCTCTCTTATCTCAGGAAAACTCCGCTGACTATTGTTTAGACATTTGACATAAAGACAACAATACAATCTATCTCTTTTACTAGGAGCATTTCTCTGAGAAGACTCAAGAAACCTTTTAATCCCATCCTTACATTCTTTGCTAATTCTCTTAGCTTTTATCCAACTACAATCCATTGTTCTACAGAGTCCATAGCGATAGGGTTAATTTTAAATCTTTCCACGGTTGTTATTAAGAAAACCGTCGTAGAAAGCACTTTTAAGGGCGGTTAATTAAATAACCGACGTTAAAATTACTTTCCACAGTGGTTTTCTTAATAACCACCGTGGAAAGTTAATAGTCGCAATAGTAATTTACAAAAAAACCACTGCCTTTTTGTCCATGGCGTTTTTCAATTTAACCACTGTTGTTTTTCGTCGTTATATGTCTTTTTTGTAGTAGTGTCATTGTCTGATGAAAAAGCCTCCTCCTCCTCCAACTATTTTTTTAATTGTAAAAATGTAATTTTTTAAAAATATTTTTTAAAGGCGGCCTCCATGCCCCTACCAATTATATATATATATATATATGATATTTTGTGATGATCTACTCTTGTGTTTACTCTTTTTAATGCATTTTTCTCTTCTCGATCTTTGATAACGAACCCTAAAACTGATAAAAATGTAGTCTTTTTTTTTTATTTAAAGAAAGAGAAGAACAACTGGTTATTACTTAGGAGTCTTTACGCCAGGTGTTGTCAAATTCAATATAACATTTAAAAGTTACATTGGTTATCTTGTGTTTGATATAAAATGCGTTTTCAACACTAGTTTCCATGCCAACTGACGTTTTTGTTTGAGGCTTGAGGCATTGTCACCATATCTAGTCCATTAAACATGATAAGGAACTTTGCCAAATGTTTGGTCATTCAAGTATGATAAGATTCAAGTTGCAGTACTTTGAATGACCTAGTATTTGTTAGATATCTAGGTCATATTTGAAAAGGAATTGGCCTTCATTTTCTTTCTCCTTGTCGACCACTAGTCACTTATCTTCCTTTGTTTTCTTTCTCCCTAGTGAGCTATTTTCTGAAATCTTAATGCTAGTTAGTTGTTAATTACTACACTTTGTGTTTTCACAATTTCTTTTGTTTGGTAAAAGAAATATTCAGTTATTAGAAGAACTAGTTAGTATAAGAAAATGAAATGAAAAAAAAAATTATTTGAATTTTTGATGGTTATACCGATTGGCATAATAACCGCCATTAAAATTACAGTTTTCTACACGGGTTCCTAATTGTTGTAAAAAGTGCGGACTTTAGCACCGTTTGTTTTTATACTTGTTGTCTTTCCGATGTCAAATACTCATTCTAATTAGTGTAAAAGACCTTTTTTTTTTTTTTCAATCTCAATCCATATTCTTACCACTATTTTCATTGTTTTATATCAAACAGGACCTAGGGGTTATTTTTTGCCCTAAAATATTTAGGGTGGAGTTGTAGGTATCTAGAAATGTTTTGGTTCAGTATTGTCATGAAAATTTTTAAAAAAAGTCCTGTCGACTTAACCATACAAAATACTAGTGTTAACTATTAACACATTTTAACGGCAATGACACTATTATTGCTCCTTTTTTAAGATTTCAAGGTGATATTAAATTGAAAAAAATTTTCGGATATCCTCAACCTCTTCTTGAACACTCCCCAAAAAAAGAATGACCATTAACTCCAAGTGAATTTTATTAAAATTAAACACTGCTGAAATAATGAAAACAACTATTATGACACTGGTGAAAGAACTATAATAACAAAAAAACGTCTTTTTTTTGCCACAACACAAAAAAAAAATCTAATAAGCACAAAATTTTTTCTTGAAAGTGATATAATATTAACTAATATAAATCATGCTCTATTTAATCAACATAAATTTATTTACCTCTTTCCTACATTAGTAAAATTCTTTGCAGAGATGGGAACTTCACAGACAACAACACTGTCCCTTTGCAAGAACTCTTGACCAAACAGCATAATGCTTGGAGAAAACTTTGGGCATACTACCTCATGTTCTTAATATAAAAACTAGTTGACTAATTTGAATAAATTAAAAAAATATTTAATTTATTTAATTGTAATAAATAAGTGTTGTCTTCCCTAAAATGCCCTTACTAATCATATGTATTAATTAGAACTACCATTTGATAAAGCTTTTAACATGTGCAATTATTACAAGGACTATCTTAAAAAATAGATAAATATGAGAGCAAAGTGCGTTGAGATCTTATATTTATAATCAAATTAAATATCAAATTAACTCTTCTATTAAAGATACGGATTAATACATCTTTTCCCAGGGCCAAATTATACATTCATGGTTGCTGCAATTAGCTGGGTCCTCTAGGCCCTTACATGCTCAGCTTCTGACTCTTCAACAGATGGTTTGCTATATTTCTGAGCTTACACGGTCCATCAACTACGGCCCTCTTCTAGTTTTCGTTCAGACTAGTAAACAATCTCATGTTAAAATTTTGTCTCGCCAAAGCATAGTCCACTGGAAACTGAATTATCTGCTAAAAGACATTGGGCTATGCTCGCAACTTTCTCTTATTACTATGTTTTGATTCAATGTGAAGTTTTTTTTTTATATATTTAAAAAAAAGGGGGCTAGAGGACTTAGGAAATTCATTATTTACTTTGATTGTATTGAAGATATTAATTTGCTTTTACCTAGTTGCATTGATAATCTTCAGAACTAGTTTCAGTACTCATCATCTTGGTGAGCACTCTAAACTCATTAGATCTGGATCGTTTATATCTTATTTAGATAGTCCGAATTTAAAATCTTTAATTAATTATTTTTAAATATAAAAAAACTATTTTTTTTAAAAAAATGATAGTTATGAGATTATATTTATTTTAGATTATATATATATATGAAAATAATTACTTTGAACAAATAAAAGTAAAAAAAAAATCAAATTCAGACTATCCAAATGAGATATGAACGATTCAGATCTGATAAGCAAAGGGTGCTTATCAAAATGATGAGTATCGAAACTCGATAATCTTTTAGAGACATTGGAAATGATATTAGGCTTTTGTTCAACAGGAATAGGCAGGCGTTGGGAGGACCTAGCTTTTGCAGCAACCAAAGGTAAATTGGATAGTGTGTGTATTTATATATATGAAATTAGACTAAAATTAAATTGTCAATCTTGATTGACAAAAATGCATATTAAGTTAAATTTATAAAATAAAATTTAAAGGATTAAGCTTTAGGCATGGACTTGTCTTATTTTCGTAAATATAAATTATCCACCACCGCCATCAGCTCATCATCCCTCGCGCCTCGGCCAAACGGGGGGTGCTATCGGGAGCCAGACTTCTTCAGTACCACATTCATCATACTGTTGACAGGTGCCATCCTTCTCCAAAATGGCAGCTCCGTCTGCATTTTCCCGCCTAAATTTTCTCCCCAAACCTTCTATTTTCAGAGCAATAATCAATTTTCAAAGAACCCAGCTTACACCGAAATGGTCACTTCCCGGTTCTTCGCTCAATAATTCCTCTTCCCGTATAGCCCGCCTTTCCTCCTCATCACCTTCCCATTTGACCTCCCACGACGTTTCAAAGCACGACGGCGATTTAGTCGTTCTGGGTATTGAAACTAGCTGCGACGACACTGCCGCCGCCGTTGTAAGTGTTCGGTTTTTCCCCCCCTCCCTTGGATAAACTATGTTTGCTCCCTCAAACTAAGCCTTAATCACTCAAATTGGTACTCAATTCTAAAAGGTAACTTGTTACTGAAAAAATGTTAATTTTAGTTGAAACTAATGGCAGAGGCCTAACTTCGTGGGTATTTTCTGTCATACATCAGAGTAGATATGCCAATTTTGTAATTACGTTTTAGTTCAACGGGGAAATGTAGTTTATCCGTCTTCTTTTGGCTTGGATTCACTAGCGTGATAGTGTTTTATTTGGTGTTGTTTATGTATCTTTCTATTGTAAATTTATGGTTTCTGTTGTGTAGGTGAGGAGCAATGGTGAAATCCTGAGCCAGGTGATATCTTCTCAGGTATTGCATAAACTCACCTAGTTTTGTTGTCTTTACTATGAGAATTCTTCCTTTTGCCATATCTGCTATTTTAAATTCAGGATCCTTTTCAAATGGAAAAAGTGGTAATTTGATTTTTCCTCTAGTCAGCAAGGAATGGATAAGAAATTATGGATTGACGTAAACTCTAGTGAATAGCGCTCTTTGATGAATGATCAACATGCATGCTTGTTTTTGGGGTGCAATTTTTCCAGCTGGTCAACGAGAGCAAAGCTTCTGTGAGTAGCTATAGTATCGGATGAAAGTGATGGCAATATAAATTGCACCCAGATAGGGGGGACTATAAATTGTGCCTGGACGGGGGAGGGTGCTATCTCAGCAGTTATAGTAGTAGGCTGCTTCGGCGTTTTTGTGTGTGTGTGAGTGGGGTGGAATAATTGATACGTATAAATAATTAGTTAGATGAATAAATGGGCTAGTTGACCTTTGAATAAGATTTACTTCAAAGCTGTTATCATTGTCAATTATTAGAATGTAACAGAATTATTAACCTGTGACTACTCCCTAGTATAAGTATGAGCTAGGGGAATGTGAAGGTCTTGTTTTTTTTTACTTTATAACAGAATTCCACCAAGGTAATTTATTGTGGTGAGTATTGTACTGTATGCTATTTGCTTCTTCACTATGCACAATGATCTGAAGAAAAAGTTTTAGGTTAAGTGTTTGATTTCATCGAAGAGAAAAATGAAATTACATTGATTTTTATAAATGTTAGCTTAGGTCACTTTCTTGCACTAATCATGGACTCAAGAATTATACTGTTAGTTAAAATTACTGGATCTAGTTTGTATAAATCGTGATGATATCATTCAAGCTTCCATGTCATATTTTCCACCAAAAACATCACTCCACATCTGCTCATCAAGTAAAAGTGTGGTGTCAAAAAATTGCAAATCTAAATGGAAGGAAAATAGTCTCGCATCACTGCTATGAATGTTACGCATACTGCTAAAGTTTGTTGGTACTAACAATCCCTAGAAATATGGGCAGGCATAAGTTTTATTCTTATTTGCCACTTGGTTTTATGTGATGTGTTTTATATTATCGTTTTTTTCCTGCTTATAGGCATCTGTTTGTATCTGACTTGTTTACCAAATGAAGGCTGATCTGCTTGTAAAATATGGAGGTGTTGCTCCAAAAATGGCAGAAGAAGCTCACTCAGAAGTAATTGATCAGGTATATTATTCCTTTACTTGTATTTGAGTCTGTTAAATATGTGGTTAATTTATCGTAAAATGGAAGTTAACAGAAATATTAAAAGCACAAGGGAGTGAGAAAAAGAGAAGGCCTTTTCTCATTCTTATTCTGTTTGTCAATGTACCTTGTTTACCTCAATGAATTGAAAGAATCATGGCAGTGAATAAATGTGCAGACTCAACAATAATGAGGCTAACAGCAGTGATCATGGATCAATGATTTGATTCTATGAAGGCCGTGATTTGTGGTTCTCTGTCCCCACATGTGTTGACTTTCTGGCTTATATCCCTGTTTGAACATCTCTGATGTGTTAGGGGAGAGATATCCTTGCTTTTCTCGCATAGTACAACTATACAAGCCTTGTATAACCACACTTTCCCATTAGTAACCTGTATGAGTTCATATTTTCCTTCTTTTGTGAATATTCTGTTCAAAGCACTCAATTGTCTTGGTCTACCTAGTGACCATTTTTGGGTCCAGTGGCAGTTCCCCAAATCTAGTTATGAAGAATGAAAGGTAGTCATTGTGTTACTTTAAGGCTCCAGGACTAAGTCTTCAGATTACGCATTACAGGTTGTCCAAGAAGCTCTTGATAGGGCTCATTTGGTTGAAAAGGATCTCTCTGCAGTTGCTGTTACTATTGGTCCTGGTTTAAGTCTCTGCCTTCGTGGTAAGACATGATGTTATTTCAGCATATTTCTTTTTACATTCTATTTACATTCTATTTCTTCCTGTAAAAAGATAAGAGTTAAGAAACATAGCACTTGGTAAAGCTCATTTGACTGAGAATCATTTCCTTCTCTCATTGCTGTTACTTATAGTCCTTGCTCAAGCTGTGTCTTCACGGTAATACATGATAGAATTTAATTTCAATGTATGTGAATTTACATCCTATTGAGTTTGATGAAGGGGCTAGTTAGAAATAAGATACCTCCTACAAGAAAAGAGTATATCATTGTGAAAACATGATAATTAAAATGCAGGTCAGACATACTATGTTGCCAAAATTTTTTAAATGAGGAGATTAACAAAATGAATGTTAAGACACTAGATACTACCTTTTGTTTGCGTGTTTGTGCATTAACTTTTAGCAGAGAAATATGCTACCAATTGGGCACTGCATGCTAAGTAATGCAAAGAAGTTGGCAAGTCCTTCAGACTTCAAGCAACGTCAGTCAATACAGCCCTTGACAATTCTAGAACTGGCATCATAACTTTGCTATTAGGTCATTCCTGAGTTTTAGGAGAAATTCGTGCTATAAATCATGAATTCCTTTGATCTACCTCTTGCATGATGTAGTGGGCGTGCAAAAAGCAAGGAGAGTTGCTGGAGCCTTTAATTTGCCAATTATTGGCATACATCACATGGAAGCTCATGCTCTAGTGGCCAGGTAAAGGTATAATGGCTTTGTATTAGCATTTAGTTTATTGCTCTATGCATGATGATGTATACTTGCAACTTACAATGCTTGAATTGAGAACTTAGCTTTTACATTTTAATATGCTTCAGAAGTTTTCTTCTTGTCAATTTTAGATGGGAAAATATTATTTTTCTCTGAGACATACATTTTATTCTTTTTAGGTTAATTGAGCGAGATTTGCAGTTTCCATTCATGGCCCTACTCATTTCTGGTAATAATTCTTTTCTGTCGTGGTAAATTTATTTATCATGGTAATTTTCTTCCTTAGACTTACGCTTCTCATTTTGTTTGTTCTTACTTTGATCATGACATCAATGATCTTAGTTCAAGTTAATGATGTGGTCATCTTAGATTAATGCTAATAAGGGCTGCATGGTAAAGTAGCACACGGGCCATGAATCAAGTTTTGATGATGCATAAACTGAATGAACTCTATATGGTATCGACATATTTGGCCCACTGATGGATAAATTTCTTTAATATGTGGTTAGTTTTTATTCAGTTCTATTCCCTTTTTTTTTCTTGTTTTAGGCGCACCAAAGATTTCCCTAAGTCAATAGCCAAAGACTAACTCCTTTTAAGGTACAGAGATTATGAAGTGATATAAGAAAGAATATAATATCACAATAAGCATGTCAAACATTTAAATCTAAAATGAATAGTAAGGGTAAAAGAGCAAATGTGAATGGAAAAGGATTATCTAACTGGTAAGGGCTACAAGATAACTAATGAGTTTGAGTTAGAATATAGAATTTTATTTGTCTTTTGAAAAATAGAAAACTTGTTATCTTCATTCAAAGAGAAACTTCAACTTTCTGTTTCTTTCATGGGGCAGGGAATTCACTCAGAAGCAACTTTTTTATCAGCAAACTAGGCCAAACACAAAATCTCAAAATAATCTGGGGGAGGAAAGCAGCTTCTCCCCTTGAAGAAGTTAGTCCAAAGAGGTTATAGTTAGCAGATTAGAGCTAGCCATTTTTTTTCCCATTAGCAATGACATGAAAGACGTTTCCTTGTAACAGAGATGGTTCTTGTGACATATTTTCTCATTAGTCCAGTCAATGCCTAGCCTTTTTTTTTCTTTTCTTTCTTTTTTTTTTTTTCCCCCCGGGCCACTATTGAATATATTCTATTGTCTTCGTTGATATGCTCTGTTAATGGCAAATATTTCTGCAATTCCTAGGAGGGCACAATCTACTCATACTTGCTCGTGATCTTGGTCAATACATACAACTTGGTACTACCATAGATGATGCTATTGGGGAGGCATATGACAAAATAGCTAAATGGCTGGGACTTGATATGAGGAGGAGTGGTGGTCCTGCTCTAGAGGAGCTTGCCCGTGAGGGTAATGCAGAATCAGTTAGTTTTTCTGTAAGTTATGTAGTTTATGACCCATGGTATGCATGGAGAATTTACTCCAGTAGTAGACTTCTATGCAATTATTTATATCCTTATTATCCAGTTCTCTAATGAAAGCATTATAAGCATGTATCATGGACTTGACATTTAACGTCATTTTTATTAGAGAATGAATAAGAGGGCCAAGGAAAATAATGAATGGGCATGGTTTATGCAAGGAAGAATATGAGGGATAAGAATATTAATGGTGAGCTGGAAGGACAGATTGGGAATATAGGTAGGAGCGTGGGAGTGACTAATTTATCCAGGAGACAATGAAGTGAGCTGGATTCCTGCAGTCTGCCACAACATTGACCATGGGAGTATCGCAAAGGCTGAGCTATGGGCGATACATCCTTCAGCTTGCATGGTCTCTGGGTCCCCAGCACTTGCAGCTACAAAGCCATAGTGAATTGGCGGTGATGATTCAGCAAAATCACATAAGGTCCAATGAGACATAAGGCTCCTTTGGCTCATAATTGGCAATGCAGATACCCCATGCATATAGGGTTAGTAATAGAAGCTTAGGAGGTCTATTGTAATCAGACTATATGTTGCATTCTGAATAATAGAAGTATATTCAGTTTTATCAACTCTCTCCTCTGTTCCCTCTTCCTCTGAATTCCCCTTTCTTCCTAATCTCTCCCTTTTCCCTCTTGTTCTTTCATCTTTTCTGGAAATACCCCAACAATATGCAAATTGGTTGCCATGTGTTCCATTCTTCTCCTGCATGTCTTATTTGCATTCTTCTTGTGTATGTTCTTGGACATGATAGATATTCCCATAATTGTTAATGACAATGGCCATTAGGCCTCTTTTGCAACCCACCTTTTTTTCCCCTAAAATTTTATCTTTTTTTTTTTAATTAAAATTTATCCAGAAGTGCATGATTAGAGAGTGTTGAGATGTTTTGGGGTTGTTATATTGGGAAAACACAATCTCATGTAATATGTTAAGGTGACAGTTTCTACACCTGTTTGCTTTCGTTTTTTAGTGAGTAGCATAAGAGGTTACCTTCTATTTAATTTGGCCAAAATTACCTTCTATTTAATGAATAGTTCAGTTTCCACTATAAATAAAGAACACGCATGTGCACACAGACATATATGGTAACTTGTTGTGCAGCTCGCAACATCTTATTGTCAAGTGTCAGAAAGCTACACAAAGTCTTGGCCATATCTGTATATGGTAGATAACAGATGCTTGAAGCTACTTTCTTCCTCACTATTAATTGATTGATGTGTAAATAGCTGATTGTTGATCGTTTTAAGAAATTACTGTGCCCATGGCTTACCTGTGGTCACTTAAATTTGTTACTGCCATGTTTCTAGGTTCCAATGAAGCATCACAAAGATTGCAACTTCTCATACGCTGGCCTGAAAACCCAAGTGAGGCTAGCGATTGAATCTAAAAAAATGTATGTAAATATTTCAAGGTGCAATTATTGATATCTTTTCTGTAATGGAAACAAAAGTATGATGGACTAAGGCTTAGCATGTGTTTTCTACTTAATTTTGTTACATGGCATTCTGGACCGTGTGGTTTTGAGCTGTCCTAGTACAAGTCCTTTCTGTTGCGATGGACTGATTGCTTTGAGTATTTTACATATGTAGTATTTATGTTTTGTTCTATATAATCGCTTTGACTCGAATATTACTTATCAGAGTCTTGGTTTTTAACAGATGAGTAAATATTACATGATTTAATCATTGCATTTAAGGAAGTATCTAGTAAAGTAAAGTAAAATAGACTCTCCACTTACTTATAACATGGGCCATGGACAGTGATGCTAAAATTCCCATTTCTTCTGCAAGTAATGAGGACCGAGTTTCTAGAGCTGATATTGCTGCTTCCTTTCAGGTTAGTTTTTATGTTTTATAGGTTATGCAATGTAAAATACAAATACCTTTTCCTTCTGATTGATTCTAGTTAATTGACTTCAGTATCTGTGATATTGCTTTTACAATTTCCTTCTTTTTTACGTCCCATCAACTTAGATGGTTTAGCTTCATATATGCCTTATCAATTGGCTTTTGCTGCATGTCAAGCAGCGGGTTGCAGTATTACATCTTGAGGAAAGATGTGAACGAGCAATACAATGGGCGTTGAAGATGGAGCCTTCTTTAAAATACTTGGTAGTTGCAATGTCAGTGCATTTAATTTTTTGTTAATGGTTAACTGAAAAAGTGGAATGCCGTTCATTTTTATACTTTTAATTGCAGGTAGTCTCAGGAGGTGTTGCATCAAATCAATATGTTAGGTCTCGGCTTGATATGGTTGTAAAGAAGAATGGCCTACAACTAGTATGCCCTCCTCCCGGCCTTTGTACTGACAATGGTAATAACTTATTTCCAGTTTTAGTTATCAACAGATATGTAAATTTTCAATTTGGTCTTAGCCAATATTCTTTTACATTTTAGTCTCAATCATTAAAATGCTTGCAGTGTCTCCCTGTTTGTTGACTTGGAGTATTTTTGTTTACTGGACACTGACAACTCATGAGAATGGGGTGGAAGGGCAATCTTGCAGCATTTTGATGATTGGGGTATTAGATTGAGCATCCATCTATTTGTCAAGAATTAAAATTATAATTATCTTCTAGAATCCCGGACTTGTTTGGTACAGAGAATGAATTGAGATAAATTGGAAAACAAAAACAAAGTGATTTTGAACATAGAAAATGACCTTTAAATTAACATTGTTGAACATTGTTTATAAAGATATAATGGAGATTGTCAAAAGGAAAAGCGGGAATAGAAAAGAAAAGAAAGTGGTCTTATTTCCCGAGACAAAACCTATGAAATGGAACTTTCTTTGGCAAACTAGTTCGGTTGAGAAGATTTAGTTTTGTTTATTGATATTCTTGATCTTTCTCAGAGAGGTGTGCGGATTTGTTGGTTATAACCCACACCTTGCTTTTGAACTGACTAGGGGTAATGGTTGCTTGGACTGGCATTGAGCACTTTCGCATGGGAAGATATGACCCTCCTCCTCCTCCACAAGAACCTGAAGACTTTGTGGTAAGTTTTGCAAACAGTGACATTACGTGGACTGATCTATTGGAACTCATAATTTTGAGTAAGATGTCATGATGCTAAACAATATATTAATCTAATGACAATCTAATTTGACTTAAAAAGGTGCTATGTCAGCCAACTTCCTCCCATTCTCCCTTGCAGTTTCTGTCACATTATTCTAACCATTGTTCAACAGTTTTTATCTTTTTTTGTTTTTTTGGTTAAAACAATGAGATAAAAAAAAATTTTATTCTCAAAATCCTTTTTTTTTTTGGTTCTAGTAGCGGGTAAATTGTGCATTTGGCGATTCCTCTCAGCTTGAATAGGCATTGTTATGCTTGTGTTTTGTCAATCCAGATATAATTTATAAAAATAAGTGCAGATAATGTATTAGAGAGAAACATGAAAAAGATTGGTTGATGCAAAGATGAGACGAGTTTGGCATATAGTCACATTCAATGCATAAGATTTGACTTATAGTGTTTGACATTTGAGTAGCAGCTAAAATTTACATTTTGGTACCCATTGCAGTATGATGTACGCCCACGGTGGCCATTAGGGGAAGAGTATGCAGAAGGAAGAAGTGAAGCTCCCTCTGTAAAGAGAGCCCGTGTTCATCCATCTCTGACATCTTTGATACAAGCAACGTCACAATAATAATCATTACATCAGCATCTATTGTGCTTCTCTCCTCTTTGTGAAAGAAAAATTATAGAATCATTCAGATTTGGAAAGATAGTGAGACCTAGTCATTGGAATGGATCTAGGACTGAGTTAGTGAGACCAAACATGAAAATATTAACTTGCTTATAAAACTAAATATGGGTCTCAGTAAGTTTGAGAAATGAGTTGCATTATTTGTAATTTATGAATAGTGTTGTATTATAGATATTGAGTTGATATATTGATTTTAGTTTGAAAAAGTGTATATGTAACAACGTTTTGTTATCTATTGAAGTTAAAGTTCTTTTCTGCTATAGAATTTATATAGCTAGCTTTGTCATTCTCTGCTGCTCAACTTATAAACCGATACAAAGGCCAGATCAATGCATGTGTCTCCATGATTGGCGCTGGAACTGACAGTTAATTATAGAACTATAACCTTTAAGTAGAGTATTTAAAAACAAAAATGGAGATTGATATTACTAAGAATTATGATGAAAGAAAACCCTCTAATCTGGTCTTTCTGTCCAAACAACACACCATATTAGTGAAATAGCAAATGCTTCTGGAAGTGAATTTCAATAGCTTTGTTGCTTTTATTGTAGGTGACTCCTTCTATTGGCTTCTTCATCAATCTCTGAATCATAAGAAAACACAAACCGTTACATGGTGATGAGGGATGTCAACAGAATTGGTTAGGTGGTTAGGGAACTTCATGCATTCTATTAGAATCTACAAGGAATTAGTAAATGGAAGAACTGTCAAATGAATAATACAATTTATGCGTTTTATATGCATCAGGCCTTTTATTTTAAAAGAAACATTTACTCAAAACGTAACTCATTCTCAAATGATCTTTTATTGATCTTCATGCAGTGTTTTAGATATAGATTCTTTGATCTGGGGTTTTATAATTGGTATGTCTTGCCGCATCATTTTGGACTCTATAAGCCTATGGACGTTATATCTGCTATTTAATTATTTTGATATTCTTGAAGCAATCAAGTTTTTGTATTGAATTAGATATCATAACCATTCAGGCGTACTAATATAAAAGCAGATTACATTGATATTCTTTGAATTTGTTTCGTACTTATACTGTCACATCTTTTACTTTTAAAACTTTCACATACTTTTGCTGAAAAAAACTATGTGACCGAAAGAACTCGTCAATTTACTGACCTTATAGGGCATTAGACTTTGATAGAAGTAACATGGTTGAGCAACATGTCAACGATTTCTGCAGAACCTTTGAAGCTGATGCTTTTAGAGTATTGATCTTAGCATCAGTCTCATCTTCAAGTCTTTTCACATTGGATCCAGAGTTCCCACTGGTCTATAGAAACATAAGCAAGCAGAAAAAATAAAATAAAAACAGGAAATAATGATTCAGATATTGAACTCTTATGCTTATATAGCATTACTTGCTAAAAAATCATCAAGTTCCCAAGTAAAAAGCTCATCGTCCATCATTCTATTCTGGAATTTGGATTACCAAATAAAAACATTCCATCCTTCTCGTCCTTCTTTTTCTCTCCTTTCCTTTCTCCTCGCCTCATTTTTACCATTAGATTACCAAATGAACGGTTGAGATTTAATAATTTATAAAATTGTGATGATAATATTACACAAAAATAAAAAATAAATTATAAATATAAAAATATACTGTGGATAGTAGACGACCTGAAAATTAAAAAAAAATGGTTTTATAAAATACTGAATCTCAACCATTCATATTTTTTTTTGACTCAATGGTAGGGATGGAATGAGAAGAAAGAAAATAAGAAAAAGGATGAAGAGATGATTCAAATCCATTATTTTGAAAGATCAACTGGTGAATCCTGAGTTTTTAGGGTTTCCCTATCAAATAAAATATGCAGAATAGTTTTTTTAAAAAAAAAATTTGTGCGTCCGCTGGAAACTCAGAATGAGTTGCATTGCTTATATCTTGTAAATGGTATGGCTGCTATTGTTTTTTACATTTTATATATAGACAATACCTCTGAAAGACTCTTTTGGTATTCATTTTCCAGCTGGGATTTGTACATGGCTGATTCTCTCTCGGCTTCCTCTTTTGCCTGCTTCAATCTTTGAGTTCTCACTGGAGAGTTAACAAAACAGAATATGCATGACATTAATTAGCCAGAGAAAAGGAGAAGAAACTATACAGATTGTGATTCTGATTCATGACAAGCACAATATTTCTGAATATTTGAATGAAAAATACGAGCTATGGTATGAATCGAGTCAACTGATAAGAAATGAAACTTAAAGATTGCGTGATAAAAGCCATTGGATCTCACAGCTTCTTGCATTAGAAACGATGTGTTGAGCTTCTTGTTCTGCGGTTAACAGCATCTGAATTCCTCCTTGTCCTCTGAAGGGATCCATGGTACCTGAAAAACACGTCATAAACATGACAATGCGATCAGCATATAATCAGTAACAGAACCTAGGAAATCAACAATGAAATTTCCAAATATCAGTCTTTATCATATTAAGCAATTTGAGCTGTTTTATTCGGAGCATGTTTCGTAGCAATGAAAGTTCCAAACAACTACTTGAGCAATTTGGTGGATGAGAATCCAGAATTTGTAATAATGGACTGATTGAACTTTACCTGGCCAAGAAAGGGATTAAATCAAATATGGAAGAACAATAAAAAGTTGGATCTTGAAAAGAGAGAAACTAACCTGGGGGGGGGGGATCAGTAAAAGGGGATATGATTTCGTTACCTGAATGAAAAAGAAGCTGGTTCTGCCAAGATGGGCGATAATGGGAAGAAGGATGATGGGAGTGTTAGTTTGTTGAAGAGTGTCCTCCAAACACTCCTAAGTGAGGGGATTATGACTGGCTTTGTTATGTACCAAGTCAAATGCTATATTTAGTTGAACTCTTTAATAATATTTTTGCTTCAAAATGAACTATCCTTTTAATCTATGTTCAAATTGTAGGATTATTTATAAATTTTTTCCGTCATCCCTACTCATTAAAAATTACTACATAAGTTTCTAAAATTTAATAATTACTTCTATTTGAATAGAAATAATCCTATATATGTTTATTATTTTCATTATATTATTAAACATTATTACGTATATATATTTCGTATAAATGATTATTTTTTAATTTTTAAAATAATTGAAATTTTTCATGATCATTAAATATGTGATTGATTGATATTTCATACACTTATTTGTTTTTCAAGTCAACAAAAATATTGAAAATAAATTATTTAGCGTAATAACTTATGTTAGCAAGATAAGTTACTAACTCGTGTCAAAGGAATAATAATAACAACAACAACTTATTTTTTAATATTCACTCAGATTTGCTTTGAAATATTCAATATTTTCACACGGTAGTTTATATGAAAAGGTGTGCTCGCAATCTATTTTTCTCCATTCTTAGTACAAAAGCTTTTGCCTAGAATTATTTTTTCGACTAAATATCATTTACTATAATATTTCTTAATGTACCAAACAGCTTTCTACCTGGTATCCTCTAAATAATAAACTTCGTTGAGAATAAATTTTAAACGTATTAACTAATTTTAATTCACTTAATCAATCTATGTAAGGTACCTTGTAGGTTCTTAATATATTTTAATCTATCCCAATGAGGTTGTGGTTTAGAGAAACCAGGTAAACATTAGGGCGAATTAGTATAAAGTTTCAATGAGGAAACATAATTATTAAAAAAATTCCATTGACAATAGAATATCTTGTAAAAACCAGTTTTAGTGTATAAAATGAAAAAAATCCCATTGACAATAGAGTATCTTGTAATAACAAGTTTTAGTGCAGAGAATAATAACGTCTCACTTATTATTGTGACTTTTTTGTAGTTGTTTTATTTCCTCAAGTCTTCCTAATAATTCTTCCAGATTAGAAGAGCACAACACGAGCACATAAATAGCAAGAAAAAAAAAACTTGGCATTTATCATTATCAGTACCTAAATATTAAATGCTAATTGTGTTTCAAATATTACAGCAACATGCTCATGAAGTCGGTATTTAACGTAGGTTTTTGGAGAAAGCAACGTTAAAAAAGGACTGTAACATTTTTACAATATTTTGAAACTTTTCAACGTCACTTGTTGAGAAAACCGATGCCGAAAGTGTGACATTTTTAACGTGGCATGGACAAAAATTTGATATAGCATAGCCTAACAAGATGCCAACCTCACATTGTCGATAAACCCCTATAAATTTTAGAAATAACATTTACTGGCTGGCCATATCACATAGTTCCTACATTATTTTTCTTCAAACGGTTCATGGTCATTGCAAATTTGGAGGAAGACCATATCACCATGGGTTCGAGAAATGAGAGAAATAGGGAAGTTTTTCTTAACTACCATGCAAAAGATTTGAGTTCCATCACTTAAAAAAAGTTAAAGTGCATCCAACATCCTGAAATATTTTCTTAGATACATCAAATACCTCAAAATATTTTGTGGTATATCTGGTATCTCAAAATATTTTTTAGGTCCGTCCAGCACTCTGAAATATTTTTTTTTGGTTGAAGTATTTTTTTTTCTACCAAGGCAAACAAATACCTCAGGGTGCTAAAAAAAATATTAGGTGTTGGACTCACCTAGAAAAAATATTGAGATGCTGAATGCAGCTAAAAAAATACTTTATAGTAATGGACATACCTTAAAAAAAAATTCCTGGGCACTGGATGCATCACAAAATGTTTTAGGATACTGGATGTACCCGAAAAAATATTTCAGAGTGCTGAAGTACCTTAAGCCTGCTTAAAATAGGAAAGAGAGAATTGCTATAAATTTAAGTTTCATGGAAGAAATAAAATTACTAAAAAATTTCAATAATATTAGAGTAAATGACAAATTCCAATGTAGAAAATGATAACTTCTTACTTGTTATTAGAACTTTTTAATAACTATTTTCTTTTCCTAGTATTTATGGTAATTATCGGTAACTCTCTCTCTCTATATATATCGCATAGAGAGAAAGATCACAGAAACGGAGGAAAATATCCTTCCCAAGCAAGAAATAGAACATAGATATCGCAAACCCAACATGACCCAAAAAAGAATACTTTGTTGAGAAACCCATTAACCTTTTAGTACAATTTCTTTCATATATTTCAGCAGTTCGTGCTAAAATTTTACGGGCGTTTGGTTTCTTTCAAAAGCACTTTTAAAAAGTACTTTTATGTAAGTTGAGAAAATATTCTTTTCACATATTTACTTTATATATCATAAAAATTATTTTTAAAATTATAGTTTAGTTTATATCTAAACACACCATTTAAAGCATTCGGCATAATAAATGCATGGACTACTCTAACTAA